CTTTAATATTGTTCGTATTACAGAGATTAATTTTGATATTACCAAACGTAATGTTTGGAGTGTGCCGTTATTTATATTTTCTACTCGAGTAACGTCTTTGAATGGGGAGTAAGCTATATAATGTTGTTTTATAATTATTCTTCTCTTTTATAGCGTTCTTCCAACATGGTCAATGTCGGTTGTTCCTTATTTATTATTATTATTATTATTATTATTATTATTATATATATATATATATATATATATATATATATATATATATATATATATATATATATATATATATATATATATATATATATATATATATATATGTTCATCATAATCAAATTATTGAAGTAACAAATGTAGCAATGTGCTTGGTTTAATAAAGCATAAAATGGCAACCAGATAATAAAAAGTAGTGTTTGGTATGTTTTTCTTTTTATTTACTACCAATATCAACATTGGTTACTTAAATTATAAAACTTAATCATATAAAAACAATTTTAAAATTTCATCATGGCCATGAAATATTGTTTGTAAAGGCTCTACATATTTTTGTTTGTATGGCCAAATATGATTACTTCAAATATATTTGTGGTTTGACATTGTCATCATCAAGGTTAAATTTTACATGCATTTTATTCCCTTTAAAAATCGATTATTACATTTTAATTTCGATCTTTTATTATCCATTTGAAAAATATAGTTAACTGATGTCACTGTTACAGGAGTAACACTCAACATTAAATCAATTATTCAATTTGATTTCGACCTTTAAGTAACTAATTGAAATATGTAGTTAACTGAGGTCACTGTTACATGAATAACACGCAAAATGACCCCATAAATTGGAATTGCTGGTAATGCCTTTTTGATTGGTGCGCCCCCTTCCCAACCCCCGTTATCGGCATAGCTGAGTTGTATATATTTCCGTATAATCTATAACTCTTCCTATACGAAGAACACAAGCGCGTGAAATCATCGTGTAATTCTGTAAAATTATTTGTTGCTTAATTCAAATTTATTATATTATATTAAATTAATTCGCAGATCTAAATATTGATATATAAGTATCAGAATCAAGATCATTATCAGTCCCAATATAATTATCCTTTTTTCTTCTTTTTTCAGATGTTTCAGTCTTTTATCCTATCAACGTTTTAGATAATACTTTCCTTATATCTATAAAATATATTTGCCATGTACTAAAATCCACTCCATCATAATCATGGGGAATGTCTATTGTGTACGTACCTGGTATTTTGAACATTTTGGAAATAAAAGAATGACAATTTACCATTTGCACTTGCTTATAAGATGAATCCAACCGCAAACTGTACCGACCCAGATCTGGGTATGTACAGTTTGTTAGGTGCAATTAGTTGAACAAACAACATAGATCCTGATCTGCAGGCGCATTATGCTACGGCATATCCGAATCTTTGTTGTTTGCAGTTTGACTCAACTTATAAGCGAGCATATAGTGTATGCTTCAAAACTTAAATTTATAACCATCATAATTTTAGTTGTCAAGTAAAGGTCGTCAATATCTATACATCTTGAAGCAGTATTCTATCCAGGCATATCTAATGTGCCACCAATTGTATCACCAGACTTTGTAAGTAAAGTGTTATCAGTTTCCTGGTGAGAAAATGGTGGTTTGTTGGTTTTTGTTGGTTTGGGGCTTAACGCCATTTTTTTCAGCACACGATAGGCTATACATGGCAACAAGTATTAATGGTGGAGGAAAAAACCAGGTAAATCCGCAGAAAGAACATTCGACCCATAAGAAGCTACTGGCAAATGTGGATATGTGGATATTTGAGAAAGCTTGCCAGTAGCTTTTCGTGGGATTGGCCAAATCCAAGACTCGAACCCACACAGACAGAGGTGAGATGGCAGTGATCCGTAACGGAGAGCGCTTTAGACCACTCGGGACCCGAACAAAATAACGATAACCATAAAACATTTAGTAATACAAACTTGTGAGTCTTCTGTAACCATCCAGATTTGTTAAACTTGTTTTTATATTCATATTAGCATTATTACAAAATCTTGTAGAATTCAATTTAACGATTTGCTTCTCAATTATTTTAAGTACTACGCTGTGTTCAGTAAACTCAGTATTACTTCTGCAATTAATCAATTGTTTTATAGTGTCTTTATCTCACAGCCATTGATTCATCAGGATAAATAAGCTGAAGAGAAAATGGCTTCCTGTGAATACAAATGGATTAGTACTCCTCCGCCGATTACTAATGCTGCTTGCCATTTATTTATAACAAGTTTTGCCTTTTTTAAAATGAATTTTAGTTGATATCAGCTGTATCAATGGAAAAGTAGATAATAAAGTTTTATTCTACATAACGCAGACTAATTGGTTAATAGCAATATTCGTTTTGTTTCGTTATTTTTACATTTTTGTATATCATCGGGTCTATCCAAATCTCAGTTACTTACTCCTTCCAGAGATAAGCGTGCGGACTAGTGCAGAAAAACCACAAAATATTGTTTGCGTAGATTCGAGAGGAAAAATCTCAGTAAAATCTTCCTTCAGATAATCGATGATAAATATTTTAATTCCCCCAGAACTATCAACTAAACTTTTGTTGGCATATAGACTTCAATCTCCCCCACCCCATGTTAACTTTTATAACATATATGAAACTTCATTGATATTCCCAAGTCATATGGTTCCTTTTTAATTCATCCGATTTCCTTACATTTTATTTGCATTCCATAAGCTACACCTTCTAAATATCTTCCAAATGTGCATAATTCTGCAAATCGAGGGGAGGGGAGATAAAAAGGGGAGGAGAGGAATAGATCCCTGGCCCCCAGCCCGGAAATGAGGGCAAAACAGCCTGAACATTCACTTGAATAGTTTTTGATTTTGTTGTTTTTAAACTTGGATGGTTAAAATTAGGCATTGAAAATGCTTCAAATGCCGGAGCATTCGAGGATTAGACCCCTGGGTACAAAAGGGGCTTTCCATACTACGGACCCCTTGCTTGTTTGTTCAGCCTATCCCCCTCTCCCAAAGATATTCCCGCATTTTACCATGCAAACTATGTATTACAGTTTGATATAATTCATCATTTCTTTTTTAAAGACCATCATACCTTCTATTTACTTCCCGGTTTGTGTATATTTGACTATCTGTTAAGACTTTTTTGTTATTTTCTTAGTCTTTACTCTCTATTCTATAAATATCTTTATAATTATTTTCTTCCAAAGCCTTCCTTATTTAACTGTAAATACACCTTTCTACACATTGACTCCAGATCCTTCCATATTTAATTGTTGTTGTTGTTGTTTTGTGATTTGGCACTATTTCTCACCATATGATATACTATACATGACAGCCAGTATTACTTGTGGAGGAAGAACCAGAAAAAATCTAGGTAAGAACCACCTACCTACAGGAATCTATTTGCAGCTTTCTCACATATCCACATTGGGTGAGCCCAAGACATGAACTCATGCGGACAGAGGTGAGATGGCAGTGATCAGTAACTTCCAAACTAGCAGCTGCAAAATATTCCACAGGAAACAATTGCAGTGACAGCCTCTACAAAGTTTGACAACTTGTATATCCAGTTTTATGCTTTTTAATTTTCTAACAAAATTTTTCTTAATTTCATTAATTGTCATTAGCCTAAAATAAACTCTGTTGTCAGGAGACAATTTAATTATACAAAGGATGCTGATCTGCAATAAAAGATGGCTGCAATTGCTAAAAATAAACTATTGTCAGGAGACAATTTAATTATACAAAGAAAGATGATCTGCAATAAAAGATGGCTGCAATTGCTAAAAATAAACTCTATTGTCAGGAGACAATTTAATTATACAAAGGATGCTGATCTGCAATAAAAGATGGCTGCAATTGCTAAAAATAAACTATTGTCAGGAGACAATTTAATTATACAAAGAAAGATGATCTGCAATAAAAGATGGCTGCAATTGCTAAAAATAAACTCTATTGTCAGGAGACAATTTAATTATACTAAGGAAGCTGATCTGCAATAAAAGATGGCTGGAATTGCTAAAAATAAACTCTATTGTTAGGAGACAATTTAATTATACAAAGGATGCTGATCTGCAATAAAAGATGGCTGCAATTGCTAAAAATAAACAAAACAAAATTTAAGGAACAAAAACAGCTGATCAAAATTTGACTGAAAATATCATGTTCTTAAAGGCCTTTAAAATTTGTATCAAATATGATCTGCCATCACTGAAATTACTAAAACTTTTGTTATAAATTATGCTGATTCACCATTAATTATGTCCAATACTATAAATAGAAAATCCTTTAAATAACTAAGGTTACAAGGTGTTTGCAACAAGATGCATTATATAATTATGATCCAACCAGTCTATGATTTTCTTTAACAAGCAGCATATGCATGACTAACAGTTCAATTTGTAATTTTACCTTGGTCTTCATTTTGTTTGCCAAGGTGTAGTGGCTCAATGGTAAGCATACTAGACTCACTACTGAAAGTGTGTGGGTTTGAATCCTACCATTGCATCAGCCTTAGACAGTTACCATGGTGTATCCTTGGGGATGGCATTTTACTCCAATTACCATTCCACTAAATAACCTATTTGTGTTGCTGTACCATAAAGTAAAACACCAAACCGAAGCAATCACTTTGCTTGCCCTTTAGAGAGTTTTAAAGAAGCGTTGCCATTAGTCTTTTGCCTCATGGTGCATGTAGGCTTTTGGCTGGATGGGATTTGTCCTCATGAGGACAATGGCAGGATTTAATCTTGATCGTTTTTGCTACCTATCATTTAATGTAGCTTTAACAATTTCTCAGTCATATCACTAAGATGTCTGCATTGTGGCAGTTTATAGTAATGTCTAGCACTGCCGCAGACATGCAGCATGATGTCCCACCCAGTCACAGTATCCTGATACCAGGCCGACCAGTCCTAAGACTAACCTCGTAATGCTGAGCGTGAAGCGAGGCAGCTGTTAGTACCATTTTTGTAAATCTTTGGTATGACTCAACTGGGGCTCGAACCCATGACCTCCCGCATCCTATATGGACGCTCTAACCACTAGGCCACTGAAGCGGTAGCACTAATGATGTAGAATGCTGATGAGTAAACTGATTTGAGATTGTCAATGTAAAGTTTCTTCTGTAAATGCAAAAGTAGGAGCATTTGTTGGCAAGGGATAAGTACTGTAACAATGATTACAGAATGCTGAGTAACAACCCAGTTCTTTTAAGGCCTTTTTTGCACACTAAACTTGGTTGAAATTAAAAAATAAACAACACTCAATTTATTGTGTGCAAATAAATTGGAATGGATGGAAGGCTGGATGAGCAGCACAATGAAAGGACAAACATTATCTCAATAAAAGCGTGGAGTCACTATCATCCCTATCCACCCATCTCTGGTCAGCCAAGGGTCAATCTTCTTGACCAAAGAGTGCTTGAATACTGAACAAGGAATGCTTATCCATAAATTGTTATTATGATTATGAGACATCTGCAAAGGAGAGAGAGAGAGAGAATTGGCAACAATGATAAATAAAAAAAATGTCTTAAGCTCAATCATCAGAACAACAGGTTTTTGTTGTAATTTCTTTTTAATGCTGATAAATTATATAGATCAATATATAATACCAGTATTTATTTATATGAAATATTTTATAAAATAAATGTTTAACTATATGCGTAACAACCTACAAGCAGCAACAACAACAATTTAAAATAAATATTGAATTAGGAATGTATAATATAAGAATCAGAAATTAACTGTATCATTAATACAGAATGGATAGAAAGCATGCTGAAATTAAGAGTACTGCAAACAGAACATGATATACTCGTCTTATGAAGACCTGGGTCTAGTATCATCAAAATATCTGTAGAGGTTACAAAGTTAGACTCTTGGATAATGAGACAGGCTAATTAACTAATATTATTATATGCTCATTTTTTTCTCCATTAACTTTACATTGTCAGAATCATTCAATATTCCCTGATATTGAACACATTCATATTTCACTCCTTATGCTTGATGCACGTGAGCATGCGGTACACTATGAAGTTAAAAAGTTTGGTGGGCAGAGCTATATGCGCATGAATACTATTATTGTGAATTGAAGGAATCTATGATTATGAACTTTATTATTTTAATAATAAAATAATAAATTTTATTATTAAATATATTTGTTTGTGAATTTTATTGAAAAGTCTTTGGTAATGAAACAAAAATGAGAATATAATAAAAAGGTTACTGCATTTGAATGGAAAAATATGAACTCGTTTTTTTCGGATGGATATACGCACTCCCAAGGTCATGCAGTATAGCCATCTGAAAAACTCATTCATATTGTCCCATACAAATGCAGTAACCTATAATTTTCTTGAGCTGTGACTGACTGAATATGTGAAACCCGAGACACTACCAAATCAAAATGTATATCAGACTGAAGTTGTGTTAAAATATTATAATTGGGTCAAAAGCATTACACCTCTACATGGATGAAGGTCAATTATGTATATATTTCCTTTGTAATGACCTTGACCTTGAAGTAGTGGACTTAGTTAAGATATGCAGCATGCTACCTAATTATCTTTAAGGGAAAAAAGTAATTAAGTATATTTTCAGTTCTTCTGATGTTATATTCTGGACAAAGAGTCAAGTCACAGATTTCCATTTACCCTTTCAATTGCTTTGACCTTGTGGCAGGGGGATTAACTATGGTACACAACACACTATCCAGTATATACTCAAACTATTGTGAAGTTATGGGTCAGACAAGCAAATGTTAGTGGATAGATGAACAATGCCTTAATTAATCTGGTCAATTTGGACAAGCCTGTGAAAACTTACTTTAAAACAGTCCTAATGTGTTAAGAATCTATGAGTAGCCTCCAGCAGAGAGAAATCCCACTGAAGAAAACCCTACAAGTATGTACCTATCAGATATTTGTTTAGCTATCAAAAGACATGCCATATATACATACTTATAAGTTGAGTTCATCTGCAAACTGGCCAGATTTGTTGTTGCATAATGCGATGGCAGACAGGGTCTGTGCAGTTAGTTAAGAGTAGCTGGTAAAACAAACAACATATGCCCTTGTCTGCAGGCTCATTATGTTATGGTAGATCAGGATCTTTATTGCCTGCAGTTTGACTTGACTTATAAGTGAGTATATATGGTAATAGATATGAGGGACCCAAAGCAGACAAAAATACCCCTTGAACTAGCTATCAAAGGACATAAGAGATATGAGGGACCTAAAGCAGACAAAACACAACTTGAACAAGCTAGCAGAAGACAAAACAGATATAAGGTACCCAGAGAAGACAAAACACCATTTGAACTAACTATCACATAATTGACATGAGAGACCCAATGAACACCATAAATAATTTTAACCTATGCTATGATGAGAAAAGTGTGTATGATGTTCACAAAGGGCCATAACTTAATTGAGGAATCATCTAAAAGCATATTTACAACTGAGGATAAGCTTATTGTTATAGCTAACAGCAAATATTAATTTTACAGCTGGTATCAGAGCAATGCTGGTCAAAGCAGGCATTCTGAAGGGTCAGAACTCTGAAAAACAATAACAACCATGACAAAAGGCACTAGTTTACATGTCATCTGGAACCTAACTGGCTGAGAGTGTGGATAAACTATGTCTTGATCTCCCTTTTCCAAGACCAAGCCACTGCCACAGTGCTGTCAGTTTGTTGTTAAAATGCCACCTGGAGAAAAACATACCCTTTGATAATTTTATAAAGCCTTCTTTACATTATCTTTACTGTGATCTTTGATGTGTTGTTGGTCTAGAACCTATACTTTATATATCATAACATGAGGAAGAAAAACATTGTTAGTTTTAGTGATGGGACACAAGATCAATGATGTTTTAGGGTAGCATGTCATACCAATAATATCAACATGAAATGCATTTGAACTTCTACATTTAGTCTGGTTCCTTTATTCCCATCAATGATGGAATTTAGATGCAAGCAAAGGGAACAATAGTAGGAATCAGTCTGAGTTCTTATGTACTAATGCATTTAGAATATGAGTTAGGGCAAAGATGACATAAGAGTTCTAACATACTGCTGGTTTATATTTGAAAGAGTATGAGCTATGAGGAGGATGTTACATCATACTTTACGAATGCGAATGGATGCATATATACACAAAATGTTTAACTCCATGTCATGGAATTTTTATCCTCAACATGCTTAAACACCAGTAAAATGCACATTTTTGGTAAAATCATTGCCTGGATGCAAAGCAATCCAGTACCAGAAAAAATAGCATGGAATTTCTTTAATGAGAGATTATTAAGTTCTTGAGGAGAAACCAGAATTTATGATTATCGTGGAAGGTAGAATGATTTCCAGGGCTTTACAGGCTGGTTGCTAACATGAACAAATATATTTGTAGAAACGTTAGAAACACTAAGTCTGGAATTTTTTTATATAAAAAAATTGTGATCAATAAAATATTAAATAATTCAAGACATCTTCATATAATTAATTTAGATTAGTGATTTTACAATGCATACAAAATATACAATACTGAACTGTACTGTCTCTCTCTCTCATTTTATATACGTCTTTAAACAAGCTGTACTTTCTCAAAATTGTGCTATACCAAAAAATTTCATGCTAGACAACTCATTTATGCATAAAGTACTGCCTCTCTTATTTTATCTCTTATTTTGCCTCAAACACTCTGACATCCCGAATATATCACCTATATAAACTAACGTCTCATGATTCGATGACGGTTGTCCTATGTGTACATCTTAGATGACATTACCATGTTAATGATGTCAACACCATCAGCAGTTATTGAAAATTCTGGTGATGAGGATAACCAAGACAGATCGGGTGGATTATAGCTGATAAATAAGTGTAAAGTACATGTTTTTAAAACATGGTTAATGGAGGTTCAGACTTTTATCATCCAATTATGATTTCTCAACCACTGTCTCCAAAGGAGTGCAACATATATTAAACTATAGTATCTGCCAACATTGCAATTTGTATTCCCTTGAGATTTTAAAAATGAAAGCATGAATGATATAAAAATGCACAAAACTTATTTATTAATTTATAATTTATTTTTAACCCAAATGTGGCTAGGTGTCCCATAGCATTGCCATCATTTTTGTATTTTAAACCCAAAAGTTTGTCAGCATAAACATCCAGCCTAATCACTGGGGGAACCTGGAAAAGTCCATCTTCATTGAAGGGGTGTAGCTCATTGGACTACATATTCATAGGAGGTAAAAACTGTTATTTGGATCCAATATTTGCAATGTCTAGTTTAATATTTCTCATAAAACAAAGTAAAAAGGGAATGCTTCTGTGCTGGGTTAAATAATTATGCAACTCTTGAAGTAACAAAAATGCAAGGAATTATTCAGGGCTTATGGCAGACTCCCATTTGTTTACAAAAATCAACTTGCCCATGCAAATAAGGTTGCCATGTTAGTTGTTGTTGTTGTTTTTGGGCTTAATGCCATTTTTCAGCACATGATAGGCTATTTATGGCGGCCAGTATTAATGGTGGAGGAAGAAACCGGGAAATCACCGGAAAGAACCACTAATCCACGAGAAGCTACTGGCAAGCTTTCTCACATATCCACATTCACAAAATCCTAGACTCGAACCCACACAGACAGAGGTGAGATGGCAGTGATCCGTAATGGACAGCGCTTTAGACCACTCTGCCACTTGGGGCCCCAATAAAAATTTTAGTGGGTAGTGTAGGCATAAACTGTAGTTAGGTATCACTACACCACCTGAGCCAATCACTACACTAGTTGAACCAATCATCTATTATTGCATTCCATTGTGGTTCCCTGAAAAATCTTATATTTTCTCTAATCTTTTTATTTCCAATTTGCAAAGCATTGAAAACTTTATTTGCATCTAATAGAAAGCAGTGTTAAAGTCTAAATGGAAAATAAAATGTTTATTAAGCTCAGTCTCCTGGCTTTTGTGTAGTATAACAAAGAAAAAGTGAATTGGCTTGTTCTGGAAAGGTCAATGGCATTAAAATTTCCAGTTCTTTTTTCAAA